GAGTTTTTCTTTTTGTTTTACTCCCCAACTTTTTCATGCTAATTTTCTTTCTTTTTTTGTTGTTGCTATTTTTCAAACTGGAAATAAAACACCTTTTACAAGGAAGAAACGTTTAATGGCATAGAAAAATGTGTATTTCATATTAATAAATACAAATATCTGTAAAGGATTATTTTACCATGAAAGATGTATCTTGGAGGAAGGCTTATTAACAGTATGCAATACGCAGATGTCACAGCTTTGCTTGCTGAAGTGAGGAGGACTTGGAGTACTTGCTGATGAAAATCAAGGATTGTACCCTTTAGTATGTATTACAACTTAATAAAAGAAAGATCAAATCCCTCACAATTGGACCAATAGGTATCATGATAAACAGAGGAAAACATTGAAATTGTCAAAGACTGGTGTCTTGCTTGGATCCACAATCAATGTTCTTGGAAGCAGCAGTCAAGATATCAAAAGACACATCGCATTAGGTAAATCTGCTGCATAAGACTTCTTAAATGTGTTGAAAAGCAGTTACCATATATACTTGTGTGTAAGCTGAGTTTTCCTGCACGTTTTTAATGCAGTTTTTGTGGTAAAATTAGGTGCCTTCGCTGATATTCGGGTCAGCTTATACTCGAGTATATACAGTACTTTGCCGTCTAAGGTATGTCTGAGCCAAGCCCTGGTAATTTCAAACACTACCTACACATATGAAAGTTAGACATTGAATAAGGAAGACCGAAGAAGAATTGATACATTTGAATTATGGTTCTGGCAAAGAATATTGAAAGCACCGTGGACTGCCATAAGAACAAACAAATCAGTCTTGGAAGAAGTACAGCCAGAGTGTCACTCAGAGGTAAGGATGGCAAGGTACCATCTCACGTACTTTGGACATGTTGTCAAGAGAGACCAGTCAGTCCCTAGAGAAGGGTATCATGCTTGCCAAGTGGAGGGGCAGCAAAAAGTGGAAGACCCTAAAGGAGATGGATTGACATGCTGCAACAATGGGCTCAAACACAAGAACAGCTGTGAGGAAGGCGCAGCACCAAGCGGTGTTTCGTTCTGTTGCACATGGGTCACTATTAATCAGGACTGACTTGATGGCACCTGAGAACAGCATATTAAGACCAAAATCAAACAAAAAAAGGGGTGGGCATATGCAAGTGGACAAACAGATCCCCACCTGTGCCCCTACATGGTCGAACAATAAAGAACTTCCTTCTTTATGATCTGCTATTGTTCTTCTCCTAAACTTTCCACCAAGATCATGTGTCTCTTATGAAAGTGATGATCTCCATCTCTGCGTCAGAATCCAAGTGACTGAGGGCAGTGAGGTCGGTTTTTATCTGTCATCTAGGAGCCTTGGTGGGGCAACAATTAAGCAAACACTTGGCTGCTAGATTGGAAGCAACCCTGGGAGCGAGCTGGGCATCTGCTTCCATGATGATCACAACCTAGGGATCCCTGTGGAACAGGGATCTAACCTAATCAAGTGGGTTAGAGTGAGTCGAGATCAACTGGAAGGCACCTAATAGCAACATCTGTCTTAACTATGCATCGATCGAGGTCCTCATAGTCTCTCTCGCCCCTTCTTTCACTGCCATGAGGCCAAGAACACAGCCTTCCCAGAAAGTAAGCACTTCCCAACCAGTGCAGACAGCCAGGGACTGTGCCACCAGCTGTCTGCCGACAGCTCTGTTCTGCTTCACCAGGACTGCAGAGGACAGGAGGTGATCTTCTGTGCCCACACTGTGTCTCCTGAACTTTCTACTCCAGGCAGCGACTGTCTCAGGTGTGCGCACCAATAGCCACTGCCTCATCAGCCTCAGCCCCAGAGCCTTCTGGAACCACACACACAAAGACCCGATAGCCCTGGTCTCCAGAGAGATGGGCCAGAAAAATTAAGGACACAGGTTCAATTCTATAACCCCCATAGTCCCTAAGGTGAACGAGAACATGTATATAGGACAGCTCAGATGTTTACTGTATTGATTTGTTCGTTTCTGGGTCTGCCCTGCTGTGAAGGGTACACAGAGGCTGATGGCGGGTGATGACGTGAGGATATCTGCCTTAGCCCTGTGGGAAGGAGCCCTGGGCACGGAGTGACTGTCCCCCTGCCAGGAGGACCTCGGAGCTGGACTTGAGTATTGAGTGACTGGGATGTCCCCCGAGAGATTGTGGGACAGGGTCTTCCAGGTGGGATAACGCTGGTAAAACCATAGAAGCATGCGAAGGAAGAGTATTTTCAGAGGAAAAACGTTAACCCATGTGAGAGTGGCAGGGTATGGTGTGGGGAGCCCGGAGAGTGGGCAGTGGGGAGAGGGTTAGCCATAGGGGTGCCCACAGAGGCAAGCCAGGGTGAAGGGACCTGAAGTTTATACAATCTGGGGCCTCTACTAAACAAGAGAACATAAAATCACCTTCTCTCGTACAAAGGTTAAAATAGCCGTAGGAACACAGGACCAGGGTCCCACTTGGACACTGGAAGCAGCTGTGGAAGGGAGAGACCAGGAGTCTGGGATCGAGCTGAGCTCATCACTGAGGAAGGCAGCCACCCAGGAGCCGGCCCTGGCATGGAGGCAGGGGGTGCTGGCAGTTAGAACAAGCTCAACATGGTAATACCTACAGGTTAGACCTCTTTAAAGTTTTTAAAAGCAAAGATGTGACTTGGAGGACTAAGGTGCACCTGATCCAAGCCCATGGGAATTTCAATGGCCTCATCTGCATATCAGAGCAAATGTTTTGAGAATGATGAGGGCAAGGAATGTACAAATATGCTTTACACAATTGATGTATGTCTGGGTTGTGATAAGAATTGTATGAGCCCCTAATAAAACTATTAATAAATAAATAAATAAATGTCATTATTTAAAAAAAGAAAGAGTTGGATATTGAATTTGGAAGACCGAAGAAGAATCAACGCGTTTGAATTATGGCGCTGGTGAAGAATCTTGAAAGTACACGGACTGCCAAAAGAACCAATAGATCTCGCTTGGAAGAAGTGTCGACAAGCTGCTCCTTGGAGGCAAGGATGGCAAGCCTTCATCTTCCGTGCTGTGACAGGTTGTCAGGAGAGCGCAGTCCCTGGAGAAGGACAGCATGCTGGGTAAAGCAGAGGGGCAGTGATGAAGAGGAAGGCTCTCAAGGAGACGGATTGACCCAGTAGCTGCAGCAATGCGCTCAAACACAGGAACAACTGTGAGGATGGCGCAGGACCGGGCAACCTTTCGTTCTGTTGTGCCCGGGGTCTCTCTGAGCCAGAACAGACTCGATGGCTCCCACCAACGGGTTAGAGAGAGTCAAGCATCACTGTGCATACCCACACCTTCTCATCACCCAAAGCAAAAAGAGATCTCCTCTCAGGGGGCAGTTGTGCAGTCAGAATGAGAAGCTAACGTTCTGAAACAGGCCTGGCTTTCTGGGGAGGGCTGTTTCACTCACAGCGAGCAAAAGGGAAAGAGTGATCCTGTTGTCGCTGGCCTGTTTCCTGCCTTCCCAGAGGCAGGGACAACGCCCCCACCCCCAGAGCATATCCTGGCAAGGAGTACGCCCCTTTTGGCAGTATCAGGACCATGTCGTGGGCAGACACCGCCAGACAAGGACGACACACGTCCTCCACCAGCCGATAACCCGGCAGGTAGCTACTGTAAGCTGACCACAGCCACAGGGCCTGAGTGACAGTGTCTTCAGGTGTCTGACCTCATCATTTCCTTTTGCTCGCTCCTTTGTTTCCTGACTTGAGAAGTAGGAAGCACAGCACACATCATTCCATACCACAGTAAAAGTGCCCCTCAAAAGGTGTCGAGCCTCTAGCTGTGAAACTTGTCTGGCCAAGGCTACCAACAAACAAGTCTGGCCCTGTCCTGATGCCCCAGCATCCCCTAAGTCAGCGGTTCTCAACCTGGGGGTCGTGACCCCCTTGGGGGTCGAACGACCCTTTCGCAGGGATCGCCTAATTCATAACAGTAGCAAAATGACAGTGATGAAGTAGCAACGAAAATAATTGTATGGTTGGGGGTCACCACAACATGAGAAACTGCATGAAAGCTCGCCGGCATGAGGAAGGTTGAGAACCACTGCCGTAAGTGGTGTGACCTACATGTTCAGCTCCCACCTGGGCCTTGGTGTCCCTGGCTGTGCAACGGGGTAGATGAACGATGGGGCCCGACCTGGGACAGTGGATGAGAAACAGCCCATAAAACGCTCTGTAAAATGCCGTATACCTATAAAGGGCTATTAAAGTAATGAATATAAATTCAGATCCTAATGAAGGAAGAATGCTCACCTGGTTGGGCCCTGCCAAGATCCACACCTTGGCCCAGAGGGCCTAGAACCCAAGGCCACCCTTGACTGGAACATGTTCCAACTGCTACACCACCGTCCTGCTCAGGGACTGACTGAGCAATTGCAAGCTTTTTCCAGGTACTTTTTGGCTGGCATTTATATTCCTGAACCTTGTGAAATAGTACATCCTGGAATTGCTAATCCATGTGCCTTGGTGCCTGCCCCACAACACTCCTTCCACAGAGCTCTGAAAGCTTGCCATTGGCTCTACTACCACGTCCTCGAGACACACCAGAGGGTGAGCTCAGCCTCCTGGAGCAGGTTTCAGTAGAAGGACTATTTCAGGGCAGCCTTAAGGGAGCAAGTCCTGGGGCAAACACTTACTTTCCAGTTTGAAAGAGCCGGATAATCACCTTGTTTCATTTGCAAGCCTGAAGTCTGGAGCAGACAACTGCTCAGTGGTGTATGCGGGGAATGCAGTCTTTTCTTTCGAGACCAGGGAAAATAAATGTTTCTAACACATCGAATTGGGACTCATTTTATGAGGCTACCACAACTCACAAAATAAAATGTAGCACCCCTGTAGGATACCAACTTTTTCAGATAAAAAGTGAACCTAGAAGAAAACACGGACTCTTAATCCAAGTAGCATTTGGATGAAACATCTGTGTTTCTCCTGGTTCCTTCTTTTTCACTCGAGCTCTGTTTCAATGATAGTATGATCATGGTACAAAAACGTTTATTTAAATTAAATATTTTAGACAAATCAATATCTACAACAGTTCCAAAGCATGTGTAGTTCTTACAAAAAGGGAAACAAGTAACAGTTTAGCTTAATGTCTGTGATAATGTTTGAAAAGACTATTAATACATATTCTGGATTGTGTCCCAGTCAATCACATCCTCAACAGTTGACTATTTATTACCAAGTGTCATATACGATAATAGCATAAAGATTAATCATATCTGGTAAGCCATTTTACAGTAAGACTTCTTGGAAGGAAAAAAAGCATACTTTAACCATACAAAACATAAGGGGAAATAATAGTAGAATATATAAAACACACAGTTTATATGGCAATAATATGTTGAAATCAAAAGACAAATAGCTGTCTCATTGTTAGGTATGTTCCTTCAAAGGGGACTTTAAGAGAGGTGGGGAAATGTTTGGGGGTAGGAGCAAGGCTCAGAAATATTTTCCACATCACAGGGCATGTTTGCTCTTTGGGAATTTCGTAGAATCAAAGTGGGGGCAGGAAATGTGTTCTCAAATTTTGGCTGAAGGAATTGGCCTCAAGGAACCAGCTTGTGTGTGAGGAAAATGTTTAGGATTATAAATAAGATGCTCTCTATGAAGTAGTCCCTAATTCAAGAGTGGAGGACAAGAAAGAAAATCCAGCAAAGGAAGAAAAGAAGACAGAGCCAGCAGAGAAGGAAGCTCTGTTTGCATCCGGAGAGGTGTGTGTGTGCTGGAACCGTGCTGCAGAAAACGACACCCCAAGACTTGAAGAAAGGAAGGTTGTTTTATTCCAAGTTCTTGTTAGGTACCGTGGCGCCTTTGGTCATTAGGAACAGGGAGTTGATATGATGTTAGCACCATGAACAAGGACATCTTTGTTTGGCACCCATAGATGTATGTTTAAGGCTGTGCGTGAAGGCCTGTGTGTTTCACCCACACATTTATTGTATATATTTACAGGGTAGTTTGTCATGCAGTTTGCATGTGATACAAGAGAACTTACTTAAGTTTTCTCTTTCTCTCCTCTCTCACACACACAACCAAAACAAAACAAGCACAAGCCACTCAACCAGGGAAGTTAATTTCCCAAATGAAGATGAGTGCTTGGTTTGGTTTGGTTTTTCAAACTGAACATTCGTCCTTTTGAAAAAAATGTAATCATTGTGGAAGGGAGTGAACACACCAAAATCTCACGGAGATGCACGTTAACGAGCGTATTAAGGCGTCAAATTTCCCATCTTCCTTTTAGTTAGCCCTTAGGGGACCTTAAATCAGAAGAATGTGGAGCAAAGAGGGCCCCTCATTTAACCATAGGGAACCCAGACTCCTTGTCCACAGCTCGTCAATGAGGGGCCCGAGACGAGTCAGCCGGTATCCGAGTGGACAGCCAGCAGGAAAGAGGCCAGCGTCGGGCTTGGAGCACATTTGTTTCAACCAGGAGGTGTTTGGAAAGAGAAGCAGGTGAGACTCTACCATTAAACAGCATCTTTCAGTAACCCCAGTGTCATATTCCCCAGCTGTCACCAGTGATAACTCATTTGAAGGAATATACTCAACACACCAGCTGAAGAGAGTGGAACTGACGGTCAAGGGACGGTGGGGGGTGGGAGTGGGGGAGCCACTGAGCTCAGCAAGACACCCTTCAGCTTTAGTTCCAAGTCTCTCAGATGCCGGCCAGGAGTTCAGACCTCTCCTCAGGCCCTGAGATCCGTTCTCGGAAAGCGGAGAATGCTGCACAGTCTCTCAATGTCTCTTGTCGCTCCGCGGTGCTCCAGCGTCTGAGAGGGCAGGGTGGACAGGGCTGCACCTGCTGGTTCGAGGCTCTATGACACACTATAGCTGTTGTAGTATGTTGCGGTGGCATCAGCCAGAACGGAGATGAGACTGGTCTCTGTGGGGCCTGCTGCTGTCACCTGGGAGACCTGGGCATGACCACTGAGGCTCAGGGCCCCTGCGGAAGAGTCTGGGTGGCCAGGAGTGTTCAAATACTGGTCGAACTCATTGCGATCCATGTCCCCCAGGAGTTCCACCTGGCTCAGCTGATCCAGCGTGTCAAAGCCTGGGTGCTCGGGAGGCGGGGAGAGCTGCCCGAGATGAGCATGGTGGGCGGGGAGGTTGGAGTGGAGAGTGTGGTAAGTGGCAGGGGAGTAATAGGCAGGCGATGGGGGGCAGCCCGGTACAGTGGACATCATAGAGACTCCTGGGGACTGGCCGAGGGCCAGAGAACCCATGGGGTGACTGCAGTGGAGGGGGCTGGGGGCATACTGGGGGGAGTAGGGGGACCCTTGCAAGTGAGGGATGCGGTGGGAGTGAGCGTGCTCCTCTTGGCAGGGGGAAGAGAAGAAGGTCTGCTCCGGCTCCAGCCCGTCCAGCGGGGACATCTCTGGGGGCGTGGGCAGCCCGTACGGGTAGGTGTCCACACTGCCCGTGGTGCTGGTACTGCCGCCACCTGGCGCCTTGTGGTAGCAGCCCCTGAGGCTGGGCAGGGAGGCGCCCGGTGGGTACTCACCCCTCTCGTCCTTCTCACCCAGAGGCCCCCGGCTCCCGTTCCTCTTCTCGGGCAGGCTGTTCTGGTCTCGGGACAGGGAGCTCAGGAGGAAGCCAGCGTCCACGCGCTTGCAGAGGCGTTTGACCTGCTTTTTCCTGCGGGGGCGGTACTTGTAGTTGGGGTGGTCCTGCATGTGCTGCACGCGCAGCCGCTCCGCCTCGTCCACGTAGGGTCGCTTCTGGGACAGCGTCAGGGCCTTCCAGGACTTTCCTGTTCATGCAAGCCAGAGAAGAGCACCTTCAGTGTCTACGCTGCTTTGTCTCATACAGAGAATCGTGCCTCTGACCACCAGACACATGGGGGGCTACGCTTTCCCCTGTCCGCCCTCTCCCCATTCACAGCCACAGACAGACAGACAGAGAGACAGGCTCGCACCCTCTTCTCGCCACAGGGCCTGCACACACAGAGGCTAAACCACACTTCCTTTCTTGCATCCCACAAAACCGCTTCATGCAACTGGATGGAAAGGCACGCCACCGCCGCTCTTAAAAGCATACAGCCACTACAACGCTGGCTTGGGGATCTGCTGGCCCTCTGCTTGTCTGTCCTGCTCATTGGTGAAGTGTCCTGACACGTCTGCCTTGGCTGATTATGGCTGCCTCCTCGGGATGGGCTCGCACTGTGTACTGGGGCAGCAACCTGACAGGCCTTCCCGGGAAGACACTTAGGCTCGGCCAATAGTTTCACACGTGTGTCAGTCAGTTATGTTCACAATGACAACTCGTTATAGCTGAAGGTCAATAGGACCCTGCTGGAGGAAGAGGTGGTCATGGGCAGCACATGAGCAGGCAGCACACACACAGGTGCACACACAGAGAGAGACACACATGTAGACACTGACGAATGCAGGTATACACAGCCCAACACAGAGCACATCTACCTACGACCCATCAACTGTGGCAGGGGGCACCTGCTCGGCCACATAGAAGCCAATTCTGTAACCTCCCTGGGCCTCCATGTCCTCGCTACCAAACCAAGACCATGGACTACCTGTCTCAGAACTTTCCTCTTTAAAAGCACCCCATCCTCCTACCCTATTGGCTCCACGGACTGAGTTCCCTAGTGTCCTATTTTCATGGCTACCCACTGCTCTGTTGTTTTTTAAATGATTTTTGTGTTTCTCTCTGCTTTCTTCGCACATATCATGTATCCTTCCGGAGGCAGTAATTTCTGAAGACTGCATCCAGACCACTTGAATTGTTATCTCCTCAAATGGGTCCAAGATCCCATTATGTTAACAAGTTCCCTCAATGGCTCTAATGCAGTGGCTCTCCACCTTCCTAATGCCTTGACCCTTTACTACAGTTCCTCATGTTGTGGTGACCCCCAACCACAAAATTATTTTCGTTGCTACTTCATCACTGTCTTTTTGCTGTTATGAATCGGGCGACCCCTGTGAAAGGATCGTTCGACCCCCAAAGGGGTCGAGACCCATAGGTTGAGAACCGCTGCTGTCATGCATCATAAAGTTTGAGAACCACTGGTGGTTAGTTACTAAAAGTTAAGTCCGGTCAGCAAGGGGCCACCTACCCAGCAGTACTTCTCAGAGGGCCCAGGACTGCACACAGAGCTCAAGATCAGCACAGACTGGTTCCAAGGATCAAGGCCCACAAAGGGGGCCAAGGGTGGGGTTGTTAAAGTGTTCTGCCATGTGGGTGAAATTGTGTAACTAAATTGGATGGTGTCACAAATTAATATAATTAGCTGTCTCTTAAAAGGGAAATTTGAACTGTGCTAGGAACACTGTATTTAGGACCTAGAAGGGACCCTGAAGGTCAGTGGTCCCCAACCTGTGGTGTTGCAAGAGGCCTAAAGTCCAGGTGCCCCACATGCACTGCCTGTGGATGGAATATATAATGTGAAGCTAGTTTCTAAATGTCCCTAGGTATTGTTGTATTCACTAAAATACAAGTTCATTTTCACATGCTACTAAGTGGATGAAGGTCTGTACATATGTTCTCATTCACAGCATACTAAAACTACTGGGAGAAGATGCTCATTTGGAAAGCTCATAGCCAATCAAGTTGGGACTCTCACCCGGACCCCTTCCCTTTCATAGGACAAAAACAAAGAGCAGACTGAGATGATGGGGTCAGAAGTAGCCTCCCATTAGCAAGCAACACAGGTCTGTGTTAGTCTCCCTTGCTCGGTGCCAGGTGGCCTTACATAGGAAGGAATTCGCATCTCTCCTGCAAAATGCACTGGCCCCTCTTAAGGCAGGTGCACAAGTGGACAACAAGGATTTGCTCACAGGGAGAGATTTGTCTCCTATGCCCCTTTTTCCTGGGGAGCAGGCAGCCTTCCTCAGCAGGAGACGACTCCAGCTTACCCTCCTCTCTGACCTCTGGTGTCAGAATCCTGGGACTTCTTTTTCTGGGCTGGGTGCTCAGGCAATAAGGCACAGTGTCTAGGGCCCACAAGACTTTCAGAGGACCCATAAAAACACCCTCTGTTTCTGTTATCACCATTTGAAAAATCCACACGATTTTAGGGCAATGAACGCATGTTAACATCATATACTCCTATATCTAACTTGATGTCAGCACAAGATTAATTATAACTTTCTAAAGACTTGATGGAAGAATGAACCTCAGGAAAGTCACAACAGGACTCAGGCACAGGCAGGCTGCACATGGGCCCTTTGAAACCCAGGGCCGTGGACACTAGTGAAGGGCAACCTCCTCTGCGGGCTTCTGGCTGTAGCCAGATAGGTAGGCATTACGTCCCCACCCTATGATTCCACCCATGGAGAGAGCTCCGGGCTTCCATAGGAAAAGGAAGGGCTCGTTCTGAGCCAAGCTGGGAAGGGAAGGGCCAATCTCCAATCTCAGGGCTACCTTCACAGGGCCTGGAGCACACAGGGTGCACAAAAATGCTTTGAAAGAATTTCTACAGTTGAAACGAGTAAAACCCAAGTCGAAAGGGCAAGAGGGCTTGGCTTGGCTGGGGGAATCATTGAGCTCAAGACACTAGAGAAAGAAGAGAACCCTCTGGGAAGCCAGCTTGCAGGATGGGGCTTATGGAGACTTAACCTAACCGGAGACTTAACCAGGGAAACGACCCATCTTTAGGCCAGACTCTCCCTGGCCACCGTTAACAAACCTCATTCAATTACTTCCAACCCTGACTGGGGACACCGATAATGAATCAATAAAATATTTGTGAGGACTTCTTTTGCTCTTGCTGTAATAATTAAGTTAAAATCGGGATGAGTTCCTGCCACACTTCTTTTCACGAATATTCGTTGATACTTTTATCTGCGACAGTCTCCGTGGTTTTGCCAATCCTAAAGTGCAGGGATAAAGAATGATTTCCCCTCTTCGGTATTTCGAAGAACGGCCTTGGCCACTCCGTTACCAGCCCGGGGCTGAGCAGCCAGGGGAAATGCGGCGGGCTCGCCGCGCTCTGCTCAGCGGGACATTTCCAATCTCCGGGCGGCCTGGTCCAACCAAGAAAAGAGGCCGTCATCTGGCCGCCTCCAGGGGCCCCCTCCAGGGGTTCCCGAACTCCCTCTTGCCAGAGCTACCCTGCTCTTGTTCCCACCGCGGGAGCCTTCCCGCAACCCCTAAGCCGCAGCGCGGCCTCCTTGGGACCTCGCCCGATCGGGAAAACCCCAACCACCCGGACACACAGCCACCCTCAGCCTGCGCACCTTCTCGCGAACACAGCGGGCGCCCAGCCCGTTTGGGCGCTTGCACACGCACTCCAGTGGGACTCCGAGCGTCCCAACTGCCTCTCTGTCCCTGAGCACCCGAGGGTCCTCGCCGACCTCCCCGCAGCCCCCGCCTCTGCCTGCAGCCGCCCCTGCCAGGCCCGCCGACACCCCCGGGCTCCCGCCCCAGGCCGTCACTCACCCAGCATCTTGCTGAGCTCGGCGTTGTGCAGGTCTGGGTTCTGCACCGCCAGCCGTTTCCTCTCGTCCTTGGCCCACACCATGAAGGCATTCATGGGCCGCCGGATGCGGCTTTCAGAGCCCTTGTCCCCCGGGGGTCGCGGGGCGGCTGGTGGGGACAGCCCATCCGACAGTTCGGCTTCCAGGGCTGGGCACTCGAGCCCTTCAGGCCACGGGTAGCCTCCTAGCAGCGAGGTCATGGCCGCACAGGGGTCGCCTCGCTTGGCTTCGCTGAGCTGGGGCAGACCTGGCCCTCGCACGGGTCGCGGGCGTCCAACTTGGCCCGCAGCTGCGGCCCCTGATTTATCAGCTTCGGGCGGCTGCGTCCTCCAATGACTCGTGAAAGTGGTGCGGCTCCTCCTCGCGTCTCAGCGCCGGGCCCCCTCCCTGC